AACTTATTTATAAGCCATTATAAATATAACTTATTTATAAGCCATTAGAGAAAACGTCAAAAGACACGACTACGAATCTCGGAAAAACACTGCTAAATATGTACCGGTCTATAGTTCATAGAAAAATCTTTCCCTGAGAATTGTAGATAGAGGTCACGTATTGTGGCCATAATATACCGAAATTAATTTGGACAATGAACTATTCCGAATTGATGCTTGTCCACGGAGTGAGATCCTTCAGTACTTTTTGAGCATTCTTTTAGCAAATCAGTAACTACTTTTATGTTGGTTTGGATGAAAACTTTCTATTTAAAGACCACGTTTCCTAGATGAGTTTCTTCGGTTGATTTTTGAAAATTTGAGGTTCTATAGAATCGAAGATTCTCGAATACCCGGGCCTATAAGTGGAATGTAAATCACCCGCGTTATTATTAATGGACGTGACTTACTTTTGATGGAAAAGTTACTTACCTACGTATTGTATAAGTATTGAAGAAATTCATAAGAGTAGTAGCAGGCTGAGCTCCCCGTGAAAAACTTCATCCAGGGCAGTCCTGACACCTTACCTATTTCTGCATCCAAGCAGTAATGTAAGCACTACTGCGTTCCGGTTTTGAAGGGTTAAGGCTGCTGGTAAAATTACAGACACGTGAAACTTGTCAACTTATGCCTCAGGGTGACGGGCGCAGTGGCAATGTCTCAGATCTTTGTGATTTAAAGCTCTGAGGGACACTACGAGTGTTATTGATAGGCGTGTCACTTACCGCCAGACGCACAACTTTACCGGCACCGTTACTTGGTATCATAAAAAAAGTTTATCGGAAGTGAGATTAAGATCTGCTGACTCAGTCTGTAAGAGTTAAGAGCGGTGGCCCCGGCATGGCAACAGACACTGGTTCCAGTCCATTCAGATCGAAGGATTTTTTCTTTGTGTTTGAGCTTTGTATTAATAATAATCCTTATTTGTATTGTTCAATACAGAATCCAAGTTGTGATGATGTAAATTATTAGGTTTCATTAACAGGTTATATCCATTGGATTTGTAGGGCCGATAAAGTACAGAGTTCCAACCATCTAATTTGAGTATACAACCAGAAATTAAGACGAAATGTCATTTAGGTAATTTGTTTGAAAACTGTTCTGCGAAATTATTACGGTGACAACTGCACTCCGATTGGCCAGCCCGAATTCGTCTTCCAACTTCAAATCGAGCAGTTGAATTTGAGTTGTGGTATAATGGACGAAAATTGAAAAATTGCATATTTAATGTTTAATTACCGATGAAATGTGATTCCTTTTGTTTTGTAATTAGATGTTTTGCTGTTTTTCCCACACGATCGAATGGAACAGCCGCCCATTGCTAGAGATATTATATTTATTACAATAAATACAGAATATTTTTGGAATATACGGAGTTCGTACAGGTCAGTTGTTGGTGCTGCTATTTCAGTTCTCTAATTTGTGATATAAGGCCCATTTGCCTGACAAGTTGCCTGAGAGATGGATGGCCCTTATTTCGTGTCTATTTCTGGTTATATACTCGATGGTTGACCTTGACGTTCGAAACTATTCGTTATTTTTAATGCATATCAAGATGTTACTACAGTGATACTCTTCTTTTGTTTTGTCAAAATTCCATACTAGTTTGTTATTATTACTGATACAAACGTTAGCGAATCGCGACATTAATTTATTTTATTAGAAAACTAACTTTGTTTCATTAAGAATTACTTTTATCGAAATAAGAAATAAAAAAGGAACGCGGACGGGCGGCCGCCATTGCGAAAAACATATTTGATAAGAACGTGGTTTTGTATTGTTTGGATTTATAGTGAAAAGATATTATAATATAATTTATATATTTATAATTTATAATAGTCACAGGAGTCTCATTTCTATGTCTACTATAAAAACCTCACATAAAGATTTTTTTGGGGTAAAAAGTAAATATATCCATATTTTTGTTTGTTTTATTCCGTAATACAGTTGAACGCAAACTAACATTGCGCTCAACTGCATACTTTTACATATAGCATACGTTTATTCAATGAGAAAATTAAAACGCTACAAACCTACAAAACAATAATGTTACGTGGTGATATTTAGAATTTTTTTGGCATAAACTAACAGACTAATTCAAAATTCCGCTGTGTTTTTGGTGATAATTACGTTTAATAACAAGAAACTTAAGTACGTACATCAGCTTTCTAATGGTAGGCGAGAGAAAGACACTGTGACATAACAATCGCTACTGTAATTCACATTTTTTTGACACATGGTGTTATGTTTACAAGAATAAAAATGTAATATAAGTAAATCTATATTGACGCAAGAGTTATACGAATTAAATGGGTTGCGTTCTCAAAGTAAAAAAAGATGTAATTCGACTTATGCCATTATTTCACAATGGGTGTGAATTGCTGGTCGCAGTGATGAAGTGCGGTTAGAAAGAATGGTGACCAACTATATTATACCGTTATACCGTTCTGAGTCTAATTGTGTCAAGGACTCGAGTAAGTTTGTGTTTGCTGCGGTTTATTCTGGTACTAGTCAAAAAGGATTACAGTAAATAGACGTCTTCGAGTTATTACAGGATAGTTATAAAAGATTTAGGTCCTCCTCCTTGTTCTTCCTCTTAACAGTATATTACTGATTCCACTTCTGGATATATGCCTTTATTTTATTTTTTTTGCTTATAAATTCAAGACTGGACGAACACGTCGTGCGCCTAATGGTAAGCTACACTCCTGTCCATAACAGTTGCAGTGCCACTCAGAGCTTTATATCGCAAAGATCTGAGGAGCACTGCCACTGCGCCCGTCACCATGGGACATAAGTTAACAAGTCCAATGTGCCTGTAATTTTTCAGCACTCCTTACCCTTCAAAACCGGAACACAGTAATGCTGACATTACTGCTTGGCAGCAGAAATAGGTAAGGTGGCAGTACTTCCCTGGACGAACTCTTTCACAAGCAGCTCTGCTGTCCTACTGCCTCTTGGTATGAATTCCATAGTCCTCGGTTTGCGGCGATTCTATTCCAGGTCGGCCCTGCCGTCTTTTTAATTTCGTCCGACCATCTCGCAGGTGGTCTGCCCACGCTTCGTTTTTCCAAACGGGGTCTCCAGAACAGAACTCTTCGGCTCCATCGGCCACGCCACCACAGCCACTCCTGTTTGGCAACCTGTACGCCCACGTCGATGAACTTGGTGCAGAAGCGTATTGCTTCATTTGGCGTCTTATCGCGTAGAGAGACGTGACGTGTTAGGTTATCGTCATGATATAGCCTCCGTGGTCGAGTGACTAGTGTCGCCGTCTCTTAGGTCCCGCGTTCGATCTCCGGTCCGGTCAATGTAGAAAACTAACTTTTCTATACATATATTATCTTGGGTCTGAGTGTTTATGGTACCATCGTTGTTTCCGATTTTTATAACAAAAATGCTTCACTTACTTTAGGATCAGAGCAACTGTAGTCTAAATATTTATGAAAACTAACAAGAGAGAACTATTTATTTACATCACAACTTGAATTCTGTATCGAAACACGTACACACATATTATTATTGATAAGAAAATCGAACACAAAGAAAAATTCCTTCGGTCTGTCTGGACACGAACCAGCGTATGTTACCTTAGTCAACTGAGCTACAGACTGAGTCAGATCTTATGAATTTTTTTGTGTTTGTTACAGATATACATATTGCGTTTGAATCGCGCTTTTTGCCGTCAGCGCTATTTCTGACAAAGTTATGAAGTTTCTTCAAAACTTATAAAATAAGTATGTAGGTAACTTTTCCATTAAAAGTAAATCCATTCATACTAACGCGGACGATATACGTTCTATATAGAAACTTAAATTTTTTTAAATCTAATGAAGAAATCGTAGTTGCGGAAACGTATATAAAAGATATATAAAAGAAGTTACGTCGTCGTATCCTTCGTGTAAATTTGGCACGCGCTCTTTGTGACGCTTGTATTTATATGGCTGAACAAACTGACGTTCGCGTCAAAAACGAATACGTAAATGCGCAGAAAAAAGATCTGTACCCCGGGCCTTCTTTAGCACTTCTTTATGTTGGGCCTTGTGTGCATTCCGGAAATCAGAGGGAATTTGATATTAAATTATCGCTTCGCCTTAGGAAGATTAATTATCTCGCACCTCTTGGAATTTGAAGCATTTTTAAATGTTTTTCAGTGTTCAGAGCCTCTTCGTTACAATGTATTAAGAAAATTAGTTTTTTTTAAATTATACCCCAATAATAACGAGAAACGCAAATATAAATTAGTGTCTTAATAAACGCGTAAGAAATCTTGTGTGGATAGCACCGGCATTAGCCCAAGTAGTGTCCTGGCGCCATCTAGGCACACAATCAAAATGGAATACTTTTAGTTAAATTTACCCCAGTGATTCAATTCGGTTTGCAAGTGGTGCAATTATAAATGATATTGGAAAAAATAATCCCTTTACTAAAACCTTGCCTCCCGTCAATGAAGCGTTCTGGTACGTATTGGTAGTCATTCATTAAACATCGAGTAGTAGTAGCGCTCATTGTGTGAGAGTTCGTCCAGGAAAGTACTGCCACCGTACCTATTTCTGCCGTCGAATAGTAATGTGAGCATTATTGCGTTCCGATTTTGAAGGGTAAAGGACTATCCA